CACAGCTGTGAGAACTGTGCCATGCACATACACACACACACACACGCACGCACACACACACCCACACAAACACACACACCCAGCAATACAGTAGCTGCACTGCCTACAATATTGTCAGCTAGTAATCATGAATTTATGAGCACCGACTGGCACTCAACCAGCATGTGCACATATAGCGAACAAACAAGAGTTGACACATACACACTCTTACTTGTGTACACACACAACCAAACTCAAATACACACACGCACACTGACGCCCGCGCACACACACAAGGTGTTATTCCTTAATGAGCAGATACATTAAACAGCGTCATGGGAGAACCAATAAATACTCAGCCAATCGCTTAAAGAGACAAGAAGGAAGCAAGATAATCTTCTGAGCACTGCTGTCCCTGACAGCTTAGAGACAGAGTGGAGAGACAGAGAGAGAGAGAGAGAGAGAGAGAGAGAGAGAGAGCACCATATCAGCACCATCAGTGACTGTTTCCTTTTGGTTTTCATCTGGACTGGAAATAAATACATTGCCAACAGTTTTCCACTACAGCAAACCGGCTATGTACTAATCAGCCTCCTAATCGACACAATGATAAATAAGATAACTCTACCCACTGCTGTGTTTTTAAATTGCCAGCTACAGGGAAAGCTTTGAAGCTAAGATTTCGTGCAGAGCTGTGCTTCATAGTCATAATGTAAATCAAACAGTGACTTCAGTTTGTTCATGTCTATGGGGTTTCTGTGTCAGATTTAATCGTCTGTGTTGGAAACATATATACTGGGTCACATCTGTAGTAATAAGAGTACACACATAACATGTCAGTAGTTTTTCTTTTTTTTAATCTTTACTATCCATTGCACCAGTGTTCAGTGCACCATTTGATACACACTGTTTCAGTTCTGAATCGGTGTCTCCTGGAGGAATGCCCAATATGCATTTGTAATATTTAGTTAATTCTTCCGTAGTAAAAATGAGTTTACTCCGAGAGCCTTTTCTAGACATGGAATACGTAGCATTACTAGCTTCATCTATGTGTCTCTTTAAATAATGGCTATTGTCATTAATTTATAGAGAGGTACGTAAATGTTCTGCTTTGCTCAGACATGAGAGCACTATTACGGACAAAGCTATGATGCTTGTGTAATGTTTCGCACCCGGTTCCCAAGAGAGAGTGATGGTACAACTGGAGAACAGCTGCAGATTGAACAGTCGTGACATAATATGGAGGAAGAAGCACGTTTGAATTTTTTTTACAGGCTGCATTGATGATGGATTTTAAAACTTATTTTACCTTTGAAGAGTTAATGAACGACCATTGTGAGCTTGAGTGACACTCATCACTACTTCTCACTGTGAATCCCCCTAATAATCCCATTAATTTCATCATTTATTATAGAATGGTGTTGATTAATTTACAAACGAAAGTCAAGACATTAAGTGTGGGTTGTCATTTTATTTAACATATGTTGAAGCTGCATATTCATTCATTCACCACCCAGGAAACAGTTGTCGGTGTCCTATGTGAAACCAAGTCAACCTTATGTACATATTTCAACTTAGTTAAGTATGGAAGTGATATAATAAAACTATCGCTAGTTACTTACCAAGCACACTTATTAAATGCATCAAACATAATTATTTTAATCCACACCACAATGCTTTCCTAAGCCCAACAAAGTACTTCCGTTGCCTGAATCTAATCAACTAAACTGGTTAACCTATTTTGGCAGTTTATTTTGAAAAGAAAGTGCATGAATTCATCGAGCAGAAACTGACACTAGAGGGGTGACTAGTTTGAAGCGTAGGGCCACCGACCAAGATGAGTGGGGAGGGAGAATGTGTTCTTTGTGCATAAGAGGTTATAGTCAAGTGATACATTTATCACAGTACTCTTAATAAGGTGGAACAGTATGCACATTTAATATCCCTCTGTGTATTTAACCTTGGTCTCTAATAGCCTTTACATTAACGTGATTGCATTTAATTTAGCCATTCAAATGACATTACTGTCATGACTTTTTAGTAAAGTGACATGAGATATACTGTAAAATTTGAATGTCCATAATGAAGTTGGTTTCTGAAAGGGACTTTAAACTATAGCACATCAAGTATTATTTGTGTTTATCAGCATTCTGTTCCTGTCAAGCCCTGAGCTGCCTGTTTCAAAAAGCTGACCCTGTCTACACCACATCATATGCATTGAATGTTTAAAGCACCATTTATGAGCCCGGCTCTCAAAATAATCACTGCACACAGCCGTATCAAGACACATTTCTCCCCTGTACAGAGCAAACATGACAAGCAGTGAGACCTTAACCTCTTTCTGACATATATATATATATATATATATATATATATATATATATATATATATATTGCCAGGCAGCTTGTTATTTAGGTTGCATATTGTATATGATTCACCACGATAAAGACATACTGAATATTAGACCCTCAGTGTGAAGGCAGCTGAGAGGACTCTTTCATCCTAATAGCACTAAACACATGTACAATGGTTAGATACCACATAAATCTTTCACTTAGATGATAGCCAGCGGATTAAGATGGCAATGAAAGATCCTGATTGTCTGCTATGTCTTTTTAATGACGCATTTACAGCGATATTGACATGGTAACCTCTTTGAAGAACAGCCTCATTCATCTGCTGTCTCAGGTGATGCATATTAATCACATGAATGACCTACCTAGCATACCTTGATGCTGTGCTGCTCTGCGTCTTCATGAAAGCGTGTGCATGTGCTTATTCAACTGTGATTGTGTGTGTGTGTGTGTGCGCGCACTGCATGCATGTAATCTCATGAAGCAGAACCAGCAATGATAGCATGAGGGACACACACATGCCCTAGATAGTTGTTCGAATTTAATCTAGGCCATCCTCATCCCCCCCCGACACGTGACAAGCACCGCAGGTAGCTGTGACACATGAAGACACTAACAACTCACACAAACAGACACCAAAAACATTGCGGGAAGAGTAGAAAAACCTGCTTAAGACTGCAGAGTTGCAAAATCAGGGGTCTGTGTAATGATTCCGTGAAAGCTCTTTAAGTAGTATAGGCCAGGGGAGACACTGAAATCCATGAGAAGGAGAGAGAGAGAGA